AATATTTGATTTGGATGAAACGTGGCTTAGTGACTCATAAGTTGACATTAGATTTAGATGTGCTCTCAGCGTATTGCTTAAGTGGACCTTCATCCCCTACGTATAATTCCTTTCGTGGCCTTTGAATATTTGATTTGGATGAAACGTGGCTTAGTGACTCATAAGTTGACATTAGATTTAGATGTGCTCTCAGCGTATTGCTTAAGTGGACCTTCATCCCCTACGTATAATTCCTTTCGTGGCCTTTGAATATTTGATTTGGATGAAACGTGGCTTAGTGACTCATAAGTTGACATCTCTAACTTTAGCTTAGTTAGACTAATCAGTTTTTAAAAATTGTGAAGGAAGCATCTCCATTTATTTATCGCAAAATTTTCCAGTTTTGGTAAAATATGAGAGTCTGTCTAGTTTTTGGTTTGTAACTGAATTTTTCTTAGATTCGGGAAAATTCACACGTTATCAGTAACTCTGAAAAAATACATCTCTAAGAAGAACACAGATGTAGCATATATATATATTCCTAAAACGTATGAATAATATGTAAAAATTAAATATACCATTAATGTTGCTTATTCTTCAAACAGCTCTGTTATTAGTAAGGTTTGATATATTCCTTTTCACAAGACAATTATATGAGTCAAATGTTTTTATATGATTCTGTACGGTATGAAGATCACACACTTACATACATTAAGCAGCAAATAATTAACCAGTTTGAGCTGCCGCCGTACTGAGCGTTTTGTTGTTATTTCCCAAAATACACAAAACTTAAATTTAACAAGCAATTTCATAAACGATATCCTATAGCTTCTTTTATCTTAGATTACGTTTAATCTCAAAAACATTATAATTTATTGTTTTCCAGTCCAGCCCCTTCTGTCGTTGGATTTTTGCATTTACACCGTATTTTACTGCTGCTTTTTCTTGGCTCCTGCTTCTCAACAATTAGATCTAATATCGTTTCTCAGATAAATCCAGCGTTTATTTCAAGCTTTCTATCAGTTTTTGCATGTTGCATACAATGCCACTCCTAATACAGTTTAAATGCATGTATTCATCCAGTTTTCATCAAAAAGCTTTAATGGACTCTTCAAAGTAAATATTGATAAAAAAATATTTTTCTGATTTGTTTCCATATTATTAATACTGCTACTGCTACTTGTAAATACATTATTTAGCTGTTTAACGTTTCCAGCATTTGCGTCAAGTTCAGGTCAGGTTTTATTTGATCATTAATACAGTTATTTTCAATAGTCTTCCATTATGTCCTGAAGATCTCACATTTATAGTTACAGTCGGTCACACCGAATCTCACGGTAGTCTAATAATACAGTTGTATATGTGATATGGTTACTTGTATAATACAGTATTGCACATGGAACTTTCACCTACGTATGAAACAGTAGTGTTTAGAAAAGAGCAATAGTTACTTACAAAAAATATATTATAATACTCGGTAATGTTTATAACAGAGCTATGGTTACTTACTAAAATATATTATAATACTGTGTAGTGTTTATAACCTAGGGTTAAGGGTGAAGACATTGATTGGTGGGGGTGATCATAGGTTGACTTGATCGAATGCAGGATCAATCAAATCAGAGGGGTTACACAATTTTTATGTCAAAGATGATCGATCGCTGTTCCTTCACTAAAGTTTTACATACTCTTACATAAAAAAATAATGCTATTTCATACGAAAGACGGAAATATAACTTTAAGAATATAAATATCGTTAATTAAAAAGTTTTTTATTTACATTATCTATTGTTGTATTATAAACTTCCTTCCGTGTATTCAAGACAACATATAAGATAAAAGTATATGATTCAACAATAAATACAGTATTCATGTTGCACTGGTGTTTGTAATAAAGTAACCTTATTATAGTGGAGTTTGCGATGTATACGTCCAAAACTCGGATCTCGATCAACACCAATCATAACTGGGTAATATTTTTACAACTAGGCAGTATTTTTATAGCTGAGCAATAAATAAATTAGTCTTTAAGCTATATTAAGCATATTATTTTAACAGGCCCATCACGAGCCAGTGGGAGACATAAAAAAAAACTACCCAATGATATGTTTCAGATTTAACCAATGAGAATTACAAAAAAGGAGTAAGTTTCAAATATAAAACAATCAAAAACCAATCTTTACCGAAAATCTCACGAGTGTTGCAACAGAAATGCAAGGTACTTTCATTGATAACTGTGTCTACAAAGAAATATTTCAATAAAATCTACTCTCTGATGTAATGCTGTGATGATAGCTCATTTTTAAACTAAAATTTCAATCAAATCCTTATTCTCATGGACGGTGAACATTATTGAATGTCAAGTATGAATACATTGTTGTTGAACTGTCAGACAGTTGCAGAAGAGGCCCCAGACCCAATAGTCTTCCACAGGAACTAGCAGTTATACCTGACCTGATGGCGGGTATTTCTGCTAGTAAATATAACCATTCATTTACTTACTACGTTAGTACATACGATATAGTTATGTATGGATACAGTAGTGTATACGATGCAGTAGCGTATTATTAATTTAGAACATATATCATATGGGAGTGTATGGATACCGTAGTGTATGCGATATAACTGTGTATATGATAGAAAAGTGTTCGTACAATTGTAATATAAGTGTATAGGAGTGCTTATGATAGTGTGCATGTTATGATAGTGCTTATTAAATAGTGGTATATATGGTACGCGATTGTGTATGGTACAGTAATGTATAACATACAAGAGTCCATATAATAGAGTATTAAATATGATATGGTAGCTTATATGATGATGATTGTGTATGGTAAACAATGTAAGAAAAATATCAGCATCACCGCAAAAATATTTCTTGTAAAATAATGATAAAATATAACAGATTGTTTATCAGTACAAAGCATTAGAATTTTAAGCTCACGGCCATCTACTAGTTTCGGTAAATATTTTGTAAGTAGTATGATCTAGAAAAAAAAATATGAACACTTTAACTGGTTAGAAATCTGAAAGACCTTTTAACTTCCTTTCGCAATGAAACGTATAAAAAGTTCGATGCATGTTAATTATTAACACTGTAATGGATTTGCTGGTCAACTATTTAGTTAGAATATAACTACAGCAATTCAACAGTTGCATTACATTTCAGAGAAGAAAACACCAAATTCAGAGACAATAGAACAATAAGCCAAATCACATTTGAAAAGGAAAAATGATATTTAAAGAAGTCTTCTTTTAGCACTTTTCCCAAACCCCACCAAGCAAACAAAGAAGAACCTAGTTACCACTATTGAAAAACAAGCACAACATCAGAAGTCTCTATATTAACGGGCAACAGCCGAGTCCAGTTATTTCCTGTTCTTCAGCACTTGGGTTAGAATCCTTTAATACAATACCTCTTTGGACTACAAACTTGTAGACAGCAGCAGATTAACAGCCAAAATGTACTGTTAAAGTTTAACAAAAGCTTAATGTAGTTTTAAGATCATGAACCTAATAATCAATCGGTTAACATACAAGACGAGTTGGCAATAGGTCACTAATTAACGTTAACCCTGTTATGTAGTGAATAGCCAAAAGTACCTTACAGTAATTAGGTATCTTTGGAGAAGTCTAGCATTTCCCAACATGCTTGAAAGTCTATAATCTATATTTTGCTATCACGTATTTATTATACACAAACTCACAAACACACACACATATATATAACAAGTTTTTCGCTCAAAAATAAAAATAAAATAAACTGATCAGAGAACAGAGAAATTTTTAGATTGAATGAGATTAGCACAGTAATCCTTCTTCCTGGCCTGATGAATGATACTCAAGAGATTTCCAAAACAAACTTACAAAATTTATTTAGATAACTCCTTTGATAAATAACATTTGTTCATTGACAGAGAGATGCAAAGTAAAATCGAAGATGTCATAAACACCGGAAATCCCTTACAATTTCAGTTATGACATATTTACAAGCAACAATGCACAATGATTATATCATCATCAGATGCTATACTTATTTTACTTTAGATAAATTGACCTTACGGATTAAAACCCACTGTTATTTAATATCCAGCTCTACCACACCGATGTTGAAACAATATATTTATATAGTCTTTACCTGGAAGTGTTGGTCACTTGTTTTCCTTTTTTATTTCCAAATTCGGAAAAAGTCTGTCATTTATGTATTTAACAGAGTAACATAATTAGATTGACATATATATAGATATTACCTTAAAATTATATAAATATATAGATTTCAGTAAAATACTTTGTGTAGATTGATATTTTGTTTTTAAACAGATGTGCTAAGAATTTTAATTTTTGCTTCAAAATTATACATCGTTGTATTATCTGGTTGATGTAACACTTTTAGGGCACTACGAACGTCTCAGGTAAGATTTATACAAATAAAAGTTTATAAAACACGCGAAAAGATTTTAAAAAATACATCAAATATGTTAAAAACAAACTACTCCACGTTCGTTAAATGAATTATGTTTTAGCATGAATTAGATGAGCATGAGTCTGATACAAAGTTATTAACACAATGCATGTTCACGAGGTTGTGCAAGTGTTGAGAAATAATAAAATGTTCCAATTATAACTGTTAGTGCTTTGACTACTTAATAAAAGTTGTGCTGATTCAGATCTAATCAATAATTTATTTTACTCCATAAATACAGAAAAAACGTACGTTTCTTCTTGTCTTTGTACCATAAATACACATAAATAAGCTTACGTTTTTTAATGTCCTTTTATCATAAATACACGTATATATACTTTTTTCTGAGTTTGAATATTGCAAATTCACACGAATAAACTTACGTTTCCCTACGTCTGTGTATCATAAATACACATATACTTACGTTTCTCCATGTCTTTGTATAATAAATACGCATAAGTAAACTTATGTTTATCCACGTCTTTGTATCATAAATACATACAAATAAACTTATGTTTGTCCACGTCTTTGTATTATAAATACACATAAATAAACTTACGTTTCTCCATGTTGTCGTGGTTATGTTAACTCAGACTTAACCTAGAAAGCAGGAGGATCGTTGCTGAGGGACTCCAGGTAGATAGATATAGGACCCTGGAACGTAAAGCTCATTCTGACTCGAGCTGTAAAACGTTGTATCAAATATATAATGAAATTAAACAGAGACTTAATAGCTCATAAGTGGCAAGTTATATCTCTCAGTATGGGATTCGTTTTCCCTAATTTCTCCTTGTTCATAAAGGTTTTCATTTTTTAAATCATTTTTTATCTGTTTCTCAAATAGTTGCATCTTGAGAATCAGATAAAGAAGGATCCAAAAAAATAACTTTTATTTATTATACTCAAAGCAGTAAAATCTATACACAAATTGACTAAAACAATACTATTATTATTATTATACATATAACGATATTTTTAATGATTTGTTGCAACCACTCTATTTTATAGCATGTTTGTATTTCTTGGTCTTGATATGTAAATAAAATAAAATAAAGCTTTCAATTTTTGGACATTATTATTATTATAAATCATTGAATTAAAAGTATTTTTTGTTGACTTATGGTCAAAGAAACGCTAAGCACAAACTGTGATACTCAGAGATAAATGGCTATGAAAGCGTTCAAATAAGCATTAATGCTTCGTGATGAACAAGGTGAACAAACTACAAATACTGTTTTCTAAAGGATTGCAATTACTTTAATGTCTATGGAATCTTAGCGATAGAAACTAACAAGTTCACGAAGAAAAGGGAACCAGAATGAGAAACTTACCCATTGTAAAGATGAAGATAAACGCTTGAAAAGAATATAGCTTTGATTATTCAAGATACAAATGATTACATCTTTGGAATCATTAAACAAGAAAGGGAAAAAAGCTCGTGAGAAAAGTTCAGAAAGAAAAGATGAAACTTTAGAAAGAGATAAGATGGAACACAAAACGACTGGTTCTGGATCTGACTGAAAAATTAAATTTGTACGAAAGGAAATGATGGCTAACCAGTGTCTGCTTTCATGTGCGGCAGTGTGTCATCAGCTGAATAAAACACGTTGAGAAAGCTACCAGGTGTTGCTTTGGGGATGCGCAGCACAACTCAAAGATCAGGCGCTCAATTTTTCTACTCGTGCGGAAGCTAAGCGGTTGACACGAACAAGAGAATGAGCCAGTAAGAGCGGCCCGTGCGTAGAACTCACAGCTAACGAGAGAGAGAGACAGACAGATCAGCATAATAGACACTCCACGCTCATGTTCGCTAGTGAGTTATGTACAATGTATTATTTATAAAGTGAAAAGAAAAAGAGTTAGAAGGAGGTTAAATGACCGATTTGCGAGCAATGGGCTCGTTGGGTGCATGACACGGATATATATATCAATGTAAGACTAGCTTATTATAGACGTTCTCTTCCAGTCGTGACAATAAGTTGAATCAGTCAGAGATATTAAATTCTTAAGTTGTATTATAACACAGCCTCGGTTTAAAGATTTGTCAAAGTGGATTTTACTAGACTAAAATGAGTAACTCAAATGGGTATAACGCAAGCTTCAGTTTGCCATACGGGGATTAAACGTATGTCATGCGAAAAATCATGAGTTTTAGCACCAAACCATAATATGTTGAATTCTAAGTTTTGGTAAAGACGTTCCTTAACATCTGAGTATAAATCATTAAGTTTCTTCAATGTATATCGTTTTCCGCTTGTATTTTCTTAAAACAAAATAAATCTACTGGTAGATTATCTGCCATGATTTATAATCCGTAAATCAACTCGTATACATGTTTAGTTGTAAGTTTAAATTCCAGTACTGAGGCTATGTTCAGTTGCTCTACTCATAATATAGTTGTATATTAAAGCTACAAATATATTTAACTTACATACCTTGAAGAGAAATTTTCCTTTTGTATTACCTTGATATTCATTTTATACCACAAATAGAAAAAGTCTTGGAAATAGAAAAAATTACTATTATCATTAATTTTGAATGACAGTTAAATGTTAGCTGATTAACTTACTTATCTTAAGAAAGAAAAAGAACAAATTTCAGTCAGATTTGCACAAATTTTACCTACTTCTCATAAGTTGAACAATACGGATGCACTGTAATAGTGATGAAAAAATTGTTTATGCAGATAATTAAATGAAAAACACAGCTTTTTTACACACAACAAATCGATATAAATTGAACAAATAGGATTTATCACTATTACAGTGCATAAATTTGTTTATGCAGATAATTAAATGAAAAACACAGCTTTTTTACACACAACAAATCGATATAAATTGAACAATAGGATTTTATCACTATTACAGTGCATAATGTTTTTTTATACAGATAATCAAACTAGAAACACAGCTTTTTTATACCCGACAAACCAATTTAAATTTTAAGCATCAAAATAATTGCTTTACTTTTAACACTTTAATTTTAAAAATTGAAAATAACAACTTTCTCGCTCTTTAAGTTTATCCAGGGTTTTCTCAAAATAATTTATGAAATTTAAGTTATAAATCGCTCTTTAATATTCATGTGTGGGGAGCATTAGTGATATTTATTTTAATTTTTGTTTCCGGGAAGTAAAAATACTTGAATTTTAACTTAATTCTCGAATCCCTGGAGTAAAAATAACTTTTATTTTACTTCTTTGTTACAGGAAGTAAGGAGGAAATTTATTTTGTGCTACATTGTTTACATGAAAAACAAACAAACTTTGCTTTATTCATAGAATTTGGTGAGTGTGCGTGTGTGGGAGGGGGTTAACAAATGTACATTGGCTTTTTTTGCTATATTTGTTTAATACTTTGCCCCAGCCCCCAGTGGCACAGTGGTATGTCTGCGGATTTATAACGCTAGAAACCGGGTTTCGATACCCGTGGTGGGCAGAACACAGATAGCCCATTGTGTAGCTTTGTGCATAAATTCAAACAAATAAACAAAACAAACAATACTTTGCCCCAAAATCTAAGTTTTCTTTAAAAAATTCAAAAGTTTACGTTTCTGTGGAGATCGTGATGTTTATTGTTGCACGACTTAATGCATCTACTTAATAACTTATGACTTCTAATCTAACCAAATCAAGATAGTCTAATTTACCAATTTAGGAGTTTCCATAACAATTATAAAACAACTTAATATTTTATCTTAGAAATATGAACGAGCCTTCATGACGAGAATCGTGACAAACGATGGTGCCACATAGATAATGCATGACCAGCCCCTCATATGTGATTTAATTATTTATAAACTAATATAAAAATATCGTGTGTTTGCATGCTTAGACCGAACTCAGATTATTGGAGTTCTGATTCAACAGATTCAACACTAATAAACGATCTCTTAAAAAACAAGTTTTATAATTGATGATCATCTGTATAGCACTAGTATATAGTAGAATTCCTTGCGTGTATAGATTCCCAAATTTCAGCTGTTTACAATGACATTGGTTGTAGTTGAATTTGAACAAACTATCATAAAAAAGGGAATTGCTAGATTTTATTCGAATTACATGGAGTTATAGATCTCTAGTTTGAAGTAGATCAATCACCAATACCTTAAAAAGACAGAAAACACGAATTCTAGTGAAATGGAGCTCACTGAAGAGACGAAATCATATCGTCATGTGAAATTACAGGAAGTTGAAACTCACTAAAGATAAAATTTTCAACTTAAAAACATATAAGCAAGTAATGTGTAGTCTATTATAATACATTACAAGCCGCTTGCAACGGTTACAGAAACTTACTTCGTAAATGGAGAGAAACGATACATATTCTAAACATCCTTTATGTAATTTTTACAGAATTGGAAGAGGTACAGTTAGATTTAAACTATATAAAGTAGAAGCTTGTGAATGAGAAGCAATCATCTCTTGGATTATACGGAAATGTTACGTTTGATTTATGTGATAAAAACATCAAGATAAGAAGAGGAATTTTTTTTTTATATCAAGCAACCCTCACAATTCTTAGGTGGAGTAAAGATTAACTTATATTGAGAAACCATCGGGGTGATTATACAGAGCAGAAATGTTTTGTTTTATTGGGAAACTAACATGATAATTAGATGGAACAGAATTGGCTTATGCCAAATAACAATCATGATTTTTAAACAACACAGAGATTGATTTACATTGAGAATACTTCATGATGATTGGATATAACAGAAGTTGTTTAGAGTAAGAAGAAACACTCATTAAAACTAAAAAAGAAGTAAATTTCAGGAATGTAAGAATGCCTAACTTAAGAGATGACAGAGCCGAAATTAGTTTATGTAGTGAAACCTTATTAAGACAAACTGAAATTTAAGTTACGTATGTAGAGAAACCATCAATAATAATGGAACGAACTGAAATTGGCTTATATCGAGAAACCACTAAAACGACTAGAAGAACAAGAAGACATCGTATATATACACATCAAAATTTACTGTTGTACGAAATCAGTGTTTAAGAAACAAAAAGACAGGTAGAACAACACGTTTGAAAGTTGGTGAATATAAGATAATTCTAAAAAAAAAGACCATTATTGGCTAAACACATCGTTTTTCTCTTAAATTACATTTCATCTTAGTTTTTAAACTATTGTCAGTCTTTTATATTACATTTTACTCTTTGTTTTTAATCATAAAACGAGCTCTTTAGGTCAAATCACTAATCTATATTTTTCTGCCCGTCTTATACAGTTACGAGATTGTTATAATATTAAGAAAGAAGACTCAACATTTCATTCCGGTTTTTTAAAACAGAAATATCATTTTCAGAAGCAGTTTGTAAAACGGAGTATTTCAAAAACTCTCTAGAGCTTCGTGTTTTGTATTTTGGCGCGAAAACAAGTCTCTTATTCCTTTTTGGGTACATGGGGTAATATCAATTAAACACAAAAAAAAAAGAGTTCTCACGCATGACGTTGTGGTTACTTTGATAAAGATTCAGCCAATTGGTAAACAGGTAGCAGATAACATGAGGATAGAAGAAAACAGTCATTCAAGAGTCACAAAAATAAGATGTATACAGTCTGATTATTTAAGATAATTTCTTAGTAATTTCATGTCTAAAGGTTGGGTATTATTGGTCTGACTGTTTAACTTATATAGGTATGGTTGTAATAATACTGATATTTCTACTTCTGTTTCAACCGGAACAACTCATTGAACATCTAATATGGGTGTGAAAAACAAATAAAATCTTACATTACTTCACACTTCCCTAACCTATTCTTATGATCAAAAAGTTGATTCTTTAGACCCACCCACTACAGTAGCTTCCGCTACTTTAAAAACAGCAACAACAACAACATAAGACAGTAATATTACATCCTGAGGACATTTGATTTAGAAAAATAAACCAAGTGCGTTTCGTCAGAGCAGTTTGAGTTGTTATTCCTGACAGCTCTATCCTAGATATTTAAAAATTAACAATTGTTTGGTTTACATTCAGAAAAGGCCGTCCAAATGTTAAGGATAATTCACTTATTACAGTTTGGTGGCTGGAAACCTTTTACCCAACACCTTCAATCCCTAATTTATAGGTGTATTGTTTTACCTGTGGAGGAGTACAGAAAGTCTTACTTAACATAGACGGCACATTATTGTTTTGAAATGCTTTACTCATCGTGTCTTACAGTGAAATGCACTAAGCCTTCTTTCACATGAGTATTAATTACGGAGCTAGCTTGGATCCATCTTTACTCAATAGGAGGATATTGTACCTCTATGTATTTCTACGTAAGTTTAGAGTCTCGTTTCTTCCATCTGGCCGTTCATAATGATAAGTGGATAACTGGCATTTAGTACTTTAAGTGGAAATACATGAAAGTCATACCAGTTCTTAAATCGACAGGAATCTTCATTATTTCTTAACAGCAACCTAGCTCTTCAAGGTTCTAGATATACTTCTAGTTTACTTAATGTTATGCGTTTTTACTTAGAAGGTGTTCTCAATCTTTCTGATTATCTCGAGTAACTGATGATGGGGTGGCTA